ATTTATTTATTTATTTATTCATTCACTCACTCACTCACTCACTCACTCACTCACTCACTCACTGAATCTACCAAAGATAATAGTGGTTTACTACAAGTAGTGAAAACATCAACAGTAAATTGTTGTGGATAATCTAATTAAAATAATTAATAAAATCCAAACATAGTTACAGTAAATGATTGAATATTAACAAACCAACAGCCCTAACAGTAAAATAACAATAATGACAAAGTTAGTCCCCCAATGCTGTCTTAAGAGCTCCATCTTTGTTATCTTCCCAAAAGACATTAGAGAAATGGGTCATTTTAAAAGGTAGGTGATGAGAGAGGATGGAGTTTTATCAGGTTTTTAGGCACACACAGAATAAACAGACTCCGAGCTCGTAGAAGAAGGAAAAGGGCCACCGCGCTGCAGCAGGCAGGATGGTGGATCCCTGAAGGGAAGGTGGGGTGCAACTGAACCCTGCAAGGAGACTAGAGAAGAGCGGTGATAGTTGGTGACTCACTGTTATGAGGAAACAAAATAAATAATGTACTTACCACACCCAGTGGATTAGGAGCAAAGATTAGGGATGTGACCGTGCAATTTCCAAAATTTTCCATGTTCACCAACAATTACCTCTACCTGCTAATACATGTGGGACAAACTATACTGCAATAAAAAGCTGCAACTATCTTATCACAGAGTTTGAAGAACTAGGAAAGAAATATAAGTTCTTGGGAGATCAGGTTGTGGTTCCCATTGATTCTTACCGTATGCGGAGGGGGGAAAAGAATAGCTACAAGGGAATGAATGGCAATAAAAATGGTGCTGATGGGAGAGGTTAGGTTCTTGCAACTGTGGCCTGAGTTATTTGGGTGATGGACCGCTGACATTGTGACAGGTTACACCTCAGAAGGACTGATAAAAATGTGATATGCTAAAATATAGCAAGTTTGACAGGAGGGGTGACTTCGGGGCAGTCCCCCTCTCTCAGCAAGGAAGGAGGCAAGGGCAAACCACTTCCCAAAATGCTGCCAAGAAAACTGCAGGGACTGGTCCGGGCAGTCGCCAGGAGTCAAAACTGACTCGAAGGCACCAAAACAAAAAAACAAAAAAACCCAAAATGGAGTCTATTAAACCACTTTATGAAAACTCAGAAAGAACATCATGACATAAAGTTCATGGTTTCGTTATTTATTCAGTAGTGTTTAAAATGTGGGGAATAAACAAGAAATAACTTAATAACTTGACCTCTTAAAACAGGAAGGCTTCCGTGATTTAAAGATTTGGAGACTTGGTGGGATGAGTCCCATAACAGCAGGTGAAGGAGAATCTGTTGAAAAGAAACAGAAGCAAGAAAGTGGGAGAACCTGCACTCTGTGTTCAAATCGCTGCTCAAAAATCTATTTCCAAGCCACAAACCTTTTAAAGGGGCAGGAAGTAGCAACTCTGGGATTCTTTAAGTACAGGACTGCAGCATCTTTGCAGGAGGCAACTCAGCGAGCCTGGTCCTTCTAGGAAATTCCTGGCTTCTGCTGACAGTTTTCCCCTTCCTAGTGGGGAGGAAGACATAAGAGGATTATCAAAAGACCAGGTAGCTAAATTCTTTGAAGCTGGACATTTCTGTCTTTGAGGAAGAGAGTACTTAGCACTCTTCAAATACCCCAAAAAGCTGTCATACAGAAGGTTTCAGAATAATGGTTTCAGTTGACAGAACGGCAGATTCTAATTGAATGTTGGAAAAAACTAGTTGTTGAGGATGCTTTCATGTTTTGTTGTTGCTGTTGTTTGTTTTTCAAATTCATATATGCTGCCCGTCTCACTGGATAAGTGACTCTAGGCAGTGTTACAAATAAAAACTATAAAGTCTTAGCAAAATTATACAAGTTAAAACTACAAAAGATTAAAATTAAAACTAAAGAAGTTAAAACTAAAAAGGTGGAGAGAGCATCCTCAAGCTACCAACCACCCCCAGTGCTATGAACCCCCGTTAGGTCCTCCTGCAAGTTGGCAGAGCCAGGTTTTGACGCCCTTTCAGAAGGCCAACAGAGTGGGGGCCAATCTGAACCCAGGGTGCAAGATGTTGCAGAAGGCGGGAGCCATGGCAGAAAAGGCTCTCCTCCTGGATCCCCCGTTGGAATTCTTTGGGCAATGGGGTCTGTAACATACCCTTCTTGCCGGACCAGGTGGGATGGGTCAGTGTAATGGGGACAAGATGGTTCCTTGTGTGGATTAAGGGATGGGAAGTAGCCTACATGCCCCTTCCAGCTCCAGAATTCTGTGGTCACAATGAAACTAATCTGAAAGAATAAATGTATGTTTCTTAACATACTTGAAGTTCACTTGTTATCCTTAGATTTCTTTTACCTACCAAAGCTTAATACAAATCTATTTAAGGAGAACCAGTGCTGGCAAGATATATTAAGCCACAGTTTTGTGCACAGTGACGTTCATAACGTTTCTCCTTAAATAGACATATTTGCAGATCTTTGCCAACTGTGCTTGTTCTCCCTTTGCCCTTACTGATTCTCTTCCCCTCCCCTCCCCTCCCCTCCCCTCTTGTTGGGAGGGCTTGGTCAAAGACTTTTGAGAAACCTCTTGTGAATGCAGTTCTTCAAAGGCAGTTTCCTGACCCTTCTGGCAGAAAAATCAGATGAAATGTGTATGAAAGTATGTAGACACAGCCCTGGGAAGCCACTTTTCATCTGTTGATGAAAAGTAAGTGGCTTTCTTCTAGAAGTATCTGGGGATTTGCTTTCATAGGATTTCATAATCCAAACTGGTGCCTTCCAGGTGAGCTATAGTATAACTTCCATAATCCCCTAGCAGCATGGAGATTGACCAACCTGTCTGGGGAATACTGGAAGTGATCATGACGCTCATCTAGAAGTCCACCAGCTGTGGTGAAGCTGGTCTTGGGGTTTGGAGAAGATAATGACATGCCAGTTTTAGGATTCTTGGAAAGGCTGGGCCATCTGGATCTATTTCAGTCTGCATTCTGGCATCAAAAAAAGCCTGGTCACTCTGTTGCAAGAGAAAGAAGTGTGCACACTCCTGATTCTTCTTGAGCTCTTAGCAGCTTTATTGGGTTGATGGTAGCACAGTGTGGCAGTTCATTTCTACCAGAAGAATTAGTTCTATGCAATGGGAATGGTATTCTGCTCAAATTCATAGAGCCCATGTTGTGGGGCCCCATAAAATTTCATCTTCTATGTTCATCTATGTTCTCTAACATATATATGAAGCTGCAGTGTGAGCTCATGAGTGGATCTGGAGAAAATCTCTCCCTCTCCCGAGCAAGGTGAGGCTGTGCAGGTTGGAACCTCTGCTTGGCTTTGGTAATGGTGTGAATAAGGTCCAATAAATTGAACTGAATCTTGACAGACAGATTATTGCTTTTCATAGCTGGGAAATGGGCATGCAGCTCGTCCAAGATAGTTTGATGGTGGTGGTGGTGGTGATTATTATTTGTTCAATTTATATGCCACCCAGCAACTCTGGGCCATTGTCCTTGATGTCCATGATCCAACTTTGTCCTCCAAAGCTAGTTGACCCCTCCCTTGTTTGTTCCTTTCTGGATAGGGGTGTCTTGCTGTGGGGACCCACGATCAGATAATGTCCTGGCTGGATTACTGCAACAGACAGTACATACACTCTCCTTATAAACAATTCCAAAGCTTTTAAGAAAGGTTGCTTCCTTCATATTCCAGTCAGATGGAATCCCAGGACACCATTCTGGGACATTTCATTGGCTGCTTAGTTACTTCCAAGCTCAGTTCAAGCTGCTGGCATTTGCCTTTCCAGTCCTCAGCACTTGTGCCCATGCCGCAAAGGCTCTTTTTGCTTAGCCTCCTTAAGGAAGGAGCATTGCATCATCCTTAGGGAGAAGGAACAGCAGCATCCCCTTTCCCACAAAGGCGCTTCTTTGATCTTAAAAAGATCATACTCTACTTGTCCTAACATAGTTTTTTTTTAAAATTATTATTATTAAGTGTGGCTTTGGCACAGAGCTTTGATTACCCGTCCTCACGAAGGGCAGTTTGGAAGTACAGAGAGGTATACCTGAAGGCTGTCTGGTCCCATCATCAACCTTTCTTAATTTCTGTTTTCCTTCCACACATGCCAGACCCTGTTAACCAAGATGGCCAGGATACCCAAAGACCAGCTGATGGATTCTTCAGCTCCAAGGTGGCCGTGTTTGCTGCGATTGGGGCTGGCTGTGTCATTTTCATCCTCATCATCATCTTCCTCATCGTCCTCCTCATCAAGATCCGAAAACGGCACCGGAAGCACACGCAGCAGCGGGCGGCAGCCCTCTCGCTCAGCACCCTGGCCAGCCCCAAGGGCAGCGGCAACGCAGGCTCCGAACCGAGCGACATCATCATCCCCTTGCGGACTACAGAGAACAACTATTGCCCTCATTATGAGAAAGTGAGCGGAGACTACGGGCACCCTGTCTACATTGTCCAGGAGATGCCCCCACAGAGCCCAGCTAACATTTACTACAAGGTTTGAGGACAAACCTTGGCAGCCCCCACCGCAAAGCACTAGGGGCGCGAGGGAGGAGCGATCTGCATGCCTGGCAGTGGGGTGCCCTCTCGTGCACGCCCCTCTCTTAATTAGCATTTAGCCTTGTAGTTTGGAGCTTTTTAGACCCCGGATTTGAGCAGGAGGGGAGCCGTCCTCTTGCCCCCCTCTCTCCCAGCCTGTTTTATGGCCCTCATTTGGGCTCTGTGCCTTTCTCGCTCTTGAACCCACTGAGGAAACCCCAAGATGGCCGCCGCTTCAGTTTGGTGGGGGTAGATTTTCCAGCTGCTTGTTGGGTTGTCGTACGTACTTTTTCTTCGGGGCATTGGGAGAGGGCAGCCACACTGAGGCTGGCATTTGAAAGGGAGGGGCGTGCCAGCTTTGGGCCTTGCTGAGAAAGGAAGCTGTCTGGCCCTACCTTTTATACATATTATAATTCTAAAGTATTTTTTGTAACTTTTTAAAACATTGTGAAAGATTGGACTTCTGAACTGCCTCCTGCGGTTTTCCAGCACAAGCTCTTCTGCAGGCCTTCCTCCCCCACCCCACCTCGGGGCTCACACCCTCGTCCCTCTGGACGGTCACCTTCTGATCCTCTGTGTCCACTGTGAGGAAAGTGGACTGCTTCGGTTTTGGTCCTTTTTGCTAATTTATGAAACAAAAAAAGTTTTGTTTTGTTTTGTTTTGTTTTGTTTAAAAAGAAAACCTGCAAAGTTTGCGGTGGTCAGTTGAGGAGAGAACCCAGTTCCGAACGCTAACAGGAAGGGGTGTCCTGCTCCCCTGGGGAAAGAGTCGGACGGCTGTCCTGCTCACGCATTCAGGAGCCTCCCTCTCCCACACCGGGGGTGCAGGTGGGCGAGGGCATCGGACGGTGCTTCGTTACGGTGGCCTCCGTGAGTTCCAGACTCCGTTCTCCCTCAGTGGTCCAGAACCGCGGAGTGCAGGAGACGCATTCCTGGGATCCAGCAGCCCTCTTGGTTGCTTCCAGGCATCCTGTGCAAGGGAGCTCAGCTTTTGGCCCTGTTTCAGGAGGAGGTAGCTGAGCAGACCTCTTGCCCCTTGCCCGGATCCATTCTCCTTTATGCCCAACTGCAGGATGTGGTACCTCCCCTCCCCCCCGCACCTCTTTGGTCCTGGCCCACATCCCCGAGCTCTTCATTGGTTCACTCACTGACGGTGACTTCTGTGGCCTCCGAGGACTCTGAAGGCAGATCGATTTGCTCTGTGCCACTTCACGGGAGAGAAAGAGCCTCTCTCTGTACACGAAGCGGGGCTCAGCTCTTCTGGCAGCATCAGCACCCCCGGGGGTTGCTGCGGTCAGGGCACGAGCGCCAATCAAAGACCCTGCTCCATCCTCGCCACGCTTTTGCCCGCCCTGGAGGGGGTGAGGTCTCACCCCTCCATGGGTGGAAGGAAGCCTGCACTCCATTTGCCTCATGCCCCTGTGCCTGCTTGGCTGCAGCATCCCCGAGCTCTGTGCTCTTTTCCATGGCCATGTTGCACCTGTCATGCCAGAAGCCTTACTTTGCATGGAGAGGATGGCGTGTCTTTCTCTGATGGAGTGCACTTGCGCGTCTTGCCCTCCCCTCCCCTCCCCTCCCCTCCCCTCCCCTCCCTCTCCTCCTTTTCATGAGAGAGTCCTTCATTGTACACCGTTGCAGTGCACTGTCCGCCCCAAGGATGGGCCGCCCAGCTTGGCCGGTCCCACAACTCCACCAAAGCCTTACTTCTGCTTCGCAGTTGATGGCTTGAGTCTGCTTCCAAACAGCCACTCAGGGAGCCGCTCTGGAGGACATCCTGGGACTGCAGAAGCAGCTGTAGCGTCTCAGCTGACATCACGCTGCGCTCATAAACCTGCCTGCCTTCCCTTTTTGAGACTAACTTTTGCAATAACCTGGTCTGGGCAGAAGGGGTGGCAAGATGCTACTTTGGCCTCAGCGGTGCTCTCGGGCCCTAACTGGCTGACCAGTTGCTCTTCTCAAGAGACGGGTCTATCCGAAGCCACTCTGGTTTGCCCCGTCCGGCCCTCCCCCTTCAGGATCTCTATGCAGGATATGAAAAGGGTGTGTGTGTGTGTGTGTGTGTGTGTGTGTGTGTGTCTGTCTGTCTGTCTGTCTGTCTGTAAGGGCTTAGGTAATTGTGCACTTTGAAGCGTGTTCAGTGGAGATCAGCCAAGGATTCAAGTTTCTCAGGGCTCCACAGATAATCGACAGGTATTTTTAGTAGTGGTAGTAGTAGCGTTCTTTTTAAAATGTAATCGCTTTTGGAAGACTCTTCCCATATCCCATTATTATCTTATGCCCAAACGGAAGGATGTTTGTGGGGATAGGATTGCCGAAATCCTTCTCTTGGGATGGGTGGCCAGGAGGGAAGCCCCCTACAGCTGGGGGAAGGGTGGCTTCCCCCACAGCTGCAGATCCAGGGCAGGGGAAGCATTTAGACGGACTTGCTTTGTCTCTCCTGCAGCACAGATTCGCTTCTTGAATCGACTGGTTTCGTACCGATACTCAGATTTTGCAGCCTTCGGCCTGCCGAAGCCACAGGAGGGGTCAGAGGCCCTGCAGGGCCACTTCTGAAATTTGGAAGAACTGACTCCGGAGCATTCTTGGAAAGGGAACCGTGCACCCAGCACAATCCATCTGAAGAAGGGTGGGGGTGGGGAGATTGAGTGGTTGCAGCGCTTAAACTTTTAAATTTTACCCAGGGTGCAGCAAAAAATAGGGAGAGATATAAGATGCCAACTGCAGTTCTTAATACAGCCTTTCAAGAAAACTACAATGTGAACGTCATAGGAATTCCACACGGTTTATTTTCCTTTGTGTGCAGAAATGGAAAACTCTGGGTGATGCTCCCTTCCTGCTCCATGCCGACCAACAAAATAAGAAACACATGATGAGTTCTATGCAGTTACTTGCATGCAATTCATTTTGTTTAGGGAATTTTGCCTTGTGTGAAATCCTCTCCAGTGTGACGTCTCCTTTCCTACACACACAGATTTGGGGGGAGGTGAGGGGGAGCCTTAATTGCCAGAGGCAAGTGGGATGGCAGAACCTCCAGCTCAAGTTGGGGGGTGGGGGCGTTCGCTTGCTGCCCCCACCATAAAATGAACAAAGTAACTGAGCTGTGGGCAGCCAAATCAATTTGTAAAATGGGTGTTAGGGATGACATTATGCCTTTGGGGTCTTGGGTTTTTTAGCACCTCTATCTGCTGAATCCTAAAACAGTCCTTTTTTGTTCATCTTTCCCCCATCAAAAGGGATTTTTTTTAATTTTGAGGTTTTATTTTATGTAAATAACCAGTCTTTCTTGGAAGGTATAATGTAAAGAGGTTTTGTATAAACTCTGGGTTATTTTCTGGTTGCTTTTCTTAGAAAAAAATGAAAACAAATTAAAAAATAAGGGAAAAAATCAACCACAAGAACGGGTGTTCAAACATTTGTCACGTTACAGTCCATCTACATCCATCCATCACAAAAGGATGCATCCTGGATGTGTAACTAGCACACTCTGCTCCTGAAAGACCCCCCCATGCCCCCTCCTCCCAAAATGTCTGGAGCTCACCAGAGGGGCTCACCGAAACCGCAGGCAGGAGGACTGAGGCTGAGACTCCACCAAGTCCAGGGCCTTGCAGCTCTGGAGCCCCTTGGCTGGAGGCCCAGCCCTTCCTTGCCCCGGAGGACTCGGCTGGTGCCCGAAGCTGAGGCCCTGGGTCTGTGGGCTGGAGAGGGCTGGCTTTCCGCACTCTTGGCGTTGCCTCTGGACAGCTGCCGGGGCCCTGGCCGCCCATAGGGCATCCCACCCGTGGGGTAATTGAGTTCACATTGCCCCAGCAGCCTTTTGGGGCTCTGCCAGCATTTTATCCCCATGAAAACCCCATGAGGCAGGTTCCGCAGAGAGGGACAGGCCAGCCTTTGCCCAGCTCCCTCCGGCTGACCTCCCCCTCGGCTGAAGCTCACCAGTAAAAGCCTCCGCGGTGGGGCAGAGTTGGGGGGAGGGTCACAGACAGCGGCGTGCATGGTTCTCTGCAAGGACGCACTGTTGAAGCCCCCCACTATCTTACTCTGAGGGGAGCAAGAGGGAGCACCCCTTGGGGGCAGGTGTGGAGGGCCACCTGAGAGAAGGCGCATTTCCCTTTCCTTCCCTGGGAGCGGCCTGTGCCACCCAGCAGGCTCAGAGGCATTTCCACAGCTGGTCTGATGGGTCGCAACTTGCCAGTGTTGGCAGCTGTGGTGGGAATATATACTGGCCCCAAAGGAATTGGATTCTGC